ATTTTACTGAATCTTTTGCCATCAAAGGTTAGTTCAAGTCACTGCAAAGTGTCAAGGGGAGTTTAAAGAAAAAAAAAAAAAGATGGAGTTTTTTTATATATCGACGCCCAATCATGCCTCATTTTGAGACATCAGCCGCATTTCCGCGTTAATAACAAAAACGATAATTAAGGGGGGCATATTATCTCTATATATTCGTAAAGAATATTTATAAACGCGAATTTTGATATGTATTGTAAAATATTATGAAAGATGGTCCATTTGCAAAAAATTGTTAATATCTCTCTAAAACGCGTTTTTATGCTATGTTTGAGTTTTTTCTTTTCATAGAAATATTTTATTGATATTTTTAATTTTTTGTATCTGTGTTGTATATAATTTGTAAAACGTATTAAAAAAGTTATGGTGACGTGAAAGCTTCGATGAGGAAATGACGACTGTGCAAAGTAGCGTTGTGAAATCTTCTCAATTTCCACACCTCGAGATTCTGTATTTTATATCTCAGCGAAAAAAATTTGTTACGGCGTTCATATATAGCTGAATGTTCCTTCCAAGAACATGGCTTTCATATATATTTGTAACAAAAATATCAAAATTATGACCCGGACCATCAATGCGCGAACTGACGTGGAGTCACCCCGTGGTCTTATGAAATCAAGGCTTCCTTATCTATTATTTTTAGACGTTTAAATTCCACGTCCGATTTTTGACGAATCTTTCTTTTGAAGCGAAATCCAGTCCCATGTCATTGTCCATTACAGCGCTCCTAGCAACGGTTTGTTTGGAGCGGTGACGTCACACTTACGGGGTCCATTCCGGCAGCGGTGGCGTAGTCAAACTAGCTGGTGAGATCTGTCTAATGGCAAGAACAAGCTCGTCGTGTACCACGTGTGACTAGACTACTAGCATCAGCGCCGTAGCCCGGATTATGCACTGGTGATGTTTCTGCCACAATGCGGAAAAGCAAAGAACACCCACGCTATCGCTTCCTCATACTATGCCGAACCAGGCGATGAGCCCACCTTAGCACACCTCAAAGCACTCCTCCCCCTCCAGCGCAACCTACTTTCTATATTTATGTGCGCGCGAAGACGAGGACACAAGCACAAACATGTTGCCCTGTACGATGCTTGCATTGCACGAGCGCGCGGTCTTGGCATGCATAGATGCTGAAAGCTCAGAGTGCGTTCTTCTAAACGTTCGCACGTAAAAAAAAAAAATAAATAAATAAATAAATAAAGTGATTATTGAAGGGGAGAAAAAAAGAGTTGGAGGTAAATTTTGGCGTATTTGAAAGCACTGAGTATGACGTCATACCCAGTGCTTTCAAGAGTCTTGCGCGTGCTGTTCGCGAGAGCAAGCGCGTGCATTTGCAAACCTGTCAACGTTGCCTCCACATGGTCACTGCACGTGCTTGCCCCACGTGGGGCACTTGAGGAGGGAAGCCTTTCTACCGTTTATGTGGAATAGGGCCTTCGTTTAATTACCGAAGCACAAAGGAGATTGCTTTGAACGTAGGTACATGCTGCACGCGCTTGCCTTATTTCTATAAAAGATTCTGAGTAAATAAACCAAAATAAAGTGTTGATGAAGGAGCGTTCAAAGTGCGATTTGTTTTGCGTTTCTGCTTTAGAACAGTTACTGCTGCAGGCATCAGCATGCGCAGCGCGTGGAACTACACTCGCGCATGCTCTTTTTAGTGTTTGGGTAATTTAGCAAAATGTATTGGCGGCGAGATGTTTTAGTGGCGCCCTCCTACGGTTCCCCCTTGTGACGTCATTACCTTGCAGACAACAAGTTCGATGGTGTTTGTAAATAGAAAGGTGGAAGCTTGAAATCATTGCGCTCTCAAAAGAACACTGCCAACACCGTCAAAATTAAAGTTATTTCATTCCTCTTATTTCCGCCGATGACAAATCCCCTTTCCGACGTCATAGTCAGCGTTCCGCCAATCGCGGAAGGCCGACCACAGCGACGCTTTCGCTCGCGCACGGGGCTAATATTTATGAATAGGTGATACCAAAGTGCATAGCTTGATAAGCGTCCAAGATTCGCTTGCGCTCGCCAACCTTGCCGCACACAAGGACTGCTTGGTGTAGCGACCACCATGAAAGTTAGCCAAAGTCCTAAAACTACCCCACACCCACATAACAACGGTGAAACAACATTTGCGAGGACACCTAAGCCCTTTTTACGAGTTGTAAATGCGAAAGCATGAATGTCGCTCTACCGCTCCCTTATCGTCTGCGGTGTGGCGTGGACTTCCACGTTTCGCTACTGTCGAGGTTGCGGCCGGCGGCCGAGCGCACGCTCTCGTAAAGCGACCCCCCACCCCCGGCAAAACCTACCACAAGAGCGGTGGTCGATAGCGAGCTCTAGTGAAGAGACCGCCAATGGCTAGCTATAGGAGCCGTTGTGCTCTGCCAATCGGAGAGTAAGTATTTCTTTCGCGTTTTTTTTTTTTTTTTTTTTTTGCGATTAAAGACGCCGCCGGCTCCGCTGCATGAAATAGTTAATGCTTTCACATCGAAAAATCGCAAAGACGCCCCAACTGCATGAACAAAGACGCCATCCCACAACTAAAAAATCGAGCCGACACCATATTTTTGACGGCTGTGGTGAGGCTCGTGGAGGGAACTGTCGAGAAACTCTGCGCAACACATTTATGTTTGTCCTTTGTCCCTCTTGTTCTCCTTCTGCAGGGATTATTTTCATCATTCTTGTCCAGCTCTCTTGCACCTTTGCATTTAATTGCTTTAAAATCACATCATTGTTCCCTCCTCAAACTGAGCGAGCCAGGAAGGAGGGCTCCAGCGCAAATTTGAAAGCGCTGTTATAGCTACTTGGGGAATCAATAGACTGATCTCACCAGCTATAGTTTGAGTACGCCGCCGTTGCCGCCATGCATCGTGGGAGCTGTAGTCTTTCTGCACGCGCGACAACCAGGTTGGAGCTCTGCGCGATCAGAGCACGAGGCGGCATGAGCTGTCTCGTGAACTGGCGTCTGCCTCCTACGAACTACAGTTATAGACGCTTTACACACGCGCCAGAATACAGCCGCCATTGCTGACCTTCTCTTGTTTTACCGAGATACCGAGCCACTGAAATTGGTGTGGACGAGCCTCCACAAAGGCCAATGCTGGGGAGCAAGACAGAATAAAATCTAAGATGTCAATAACCTGGCCTGCTATGGTAATAATGAAGTGAAGTAAGCGTAATAAGGGGGAACAAAAACTGAAGGTCAGTTATGGCGGCGCCCATGCACAGCTGCTGCAAAGCGTCTATAGCAGCGTCACGTATGCGTGGAACGCTTGGTGAGATCGGCCTATTTGAAAATGAAGTTTGATATTTGTGCTACAGGAGGTGAAATAAATACAATTCGAGTTTTTCTTTTTCAGTTATAGAATATTTTTATTCTGTTCTTAAAATACAGCGTATTTAAAGTGAAAGGAAGTATACACGGCTTGCACGTGATGTGATCGCATTATGTAAGCACGTATTGTTACTTATATTTGTCAAGAAAAACAAACTGGGCAGTGCGAAGGTACGCGCGCATCAGTATGACTATATACCACAAGTGGCTGCTGATGTGACATCAGTTCAGCCATGTGTACTACACACGGTCATCGCTGCAGTTACAGTGTGTTATGCATTATATTTTGCAGTCACAGCCAGTCATTGCAATCTATTCACCCCCTTCAACGGGAGCTGATATCACGAGGCCACAACAGTATTTGGTGCCCCTGTAGGCTTCCGGTAGTGTATCTATTTGTTCTTCAGCAACCAAGAACGATCGGGTAAGAAGATTTTCTTTCGTAGAATTATCTGTAATATTCTTGTAAGAACCTTCGCTTATTGTAGAAGGTAGCAGAAATGACCAAGGGATGGGAGACAAAAATAAATAAAAGGAAAGCCGGAAGCGCGCGGGGAACCGCCGATAGCGGGCGATAGCGAGCTTGTTTGCAAACAAACACCGCTGAACAAGGTTTCTATGAATGCCGCCACCTTGCGAGAGAAACCGAGGCTGAGGGAAGACACGGAACAGCAGCTCATGCCGCGATACACGAAGGTACGAGTCTCGCGACAAAACATCAACTGGCAAGTCGACCAAATATTGGTAAATAAAGTACAGATAGTACTAAAACTGTACCAAACGCATCTTCCTACAGACTCTTCTTCTCTGCAAATGTATATATGTACTGAGCAGCAGAGACCACCCCATGCCGAGCGAAAATTTGTCGGCTTCTTGCGCAGGAGTTGTGGCGATGTTAGAACGGCACCAAGCTTTATTGACCGATTGAAAAAAACAAAATAGTGGGTAGAACTTGAGGCACCTAACTTCGAGGTCTACCCACAATCCTTTCAATCAAAGCCAATCATGATTGAGTTCGGCGTCGTTCTGACGTCACCGCAGCTTCTGCGCAAGAAGCAGCGTTCCACACGAAGACTGTGCGCAGCCGGCGCTACGATCTGGTGCAGTCAAACGAGTCAGCGCCAAAAGTGCTTGGTCATGGCGCTTGCCGTCTTTCTGGGTGTGCTATCCCCGATTGAACCAATCACTCACACACACACAAAAAGGAGCAGGATCACGGCGTACCTGGTGTGCGTGATTGGTTTAGTCGGTGATAACAGACGGACAAAAACGACGAGCGCAGTGACGATACACTTTGGTGCTGCTTGATTGCCTCCGTCTGATCGTAGCGCCGGCTGCACATAAGCCATTTGCACCCAGGATCAACATTAAAAAAAAAAAAAAAAAGTTTAGTACATGGGCAGTCAGGGTGCTCCCTCAAAGCGCATTTTATAATAATTATTTTGTTTTAAAATACGCAGCGAATCACTATCAATCGGCGCTCATCCGTGGGTGCGTTTCTCTATCACCAGGTGCTTCAAGAAAGAACACGCGATGCTTTTGTGTGAACGCAAGCTCAGCGCCTTTCGCCTTCAAGCCAACAGATGCTCTGGTTCCCTGGTGCTATCGAACCCTGGTGACGTAAGCCGGATCGGTATATAAGACGGGAAAAGGTGCGTGGCACCAGCGTTCACTGCTCCGTCACCCACCTCCGGTAAGTTCGTCTCGGGGGAATTGGCACGCGATGCTGTCGCGCGCTCTCCCAAAAAGAGCAGTCTTTTTTTTGTGTGTGTGTGTCTGTGTGTTTGTTTCGCTTTGAAACGCGGTTGATTTCTTCTGACGAAATGGCATTCGAGGTATTTTGTGAAAAAGAAAAGGGCAGAACTATAAGCTTCGCTTTAACCTAACCCAGTTTTTCCTGACTACTTTCATATATATTATTTCAATATACATGCGTAGAACCACACATGTCTACGCGCGTGTGACGCAAACATTCACTGGTTTATGCTCGAAGAATTAACTTCACATGAAAGTAACCTACGAAAGAAGGAACGTTCTGCTCCACTTCCTAGAAACTTTCCTGTTAGCCGTTTGATATCATGAAGTCCTTTTCCGCTTCCGCCGTCCTCGACGATATTTGAAGGACCCGAAGAGGTTGGAATCACAAGATCGCCAATGAACAGATACAGCGGTTATTTTTCTAGCGTAGTCGGTAGTGGGTAGCAGAGAGAATCGGAAGGAAGCTGGCGACTCCAGTGACCGACACAGGCGCCAGCGCTGCAGCTTAGCCTGCGCTCCAGAGGTTCAGGGACGTCTGGGGGTGCCGTGGAAATAAGCCCATTATATAAGCCTGGAACACGTATGCTGCCCCGAACTCTCAGTAATGTCTAAAGTGCCTCCCTATGTGCCTAAGTGTCGAGTACAGAGAGATGATAAAATCGCGCCCTTCCCATTCCTTCCCTCGCATCCTTCCTCACCAAGGGAAGAAACGGTGAGCGAGTGCTACTTTCGTTGACGATTGGGTAAGACACGAAAATGGGAACCACCAGCACAACGAATGCCATAGAGAATAGACCAGCCCCGCAACCCTATTTGAGAGTAACTTTAAAAGGGGCTTCTCTGTCAACCTCCTGAGGCCCCGCTTGATCGCCTCTTTCGTTATGGATAACTATCCCGGGTGTTCCATCTTAATTCGAACCGATTTATTAGAAAAAAAAAATCCGTAAACGATGCACTAATACAGTTTGGGCGGGTGAGTTATACGGCCAGGGGGACATTACGTGGGCTGCTAATCTTTACAATAAGTCGGATAATTCACGGAACTTCCTTAATCAACTTTTTAATTAGTAAAAATAATTTTATGGTTTCAGTTTGAAACATTCTGAACATAATCGAAAACCGCTAGATCAGTCAATTTTAGAACGACTTGAAGCTCGTGGGAAACTCGGGGGCGCACCAAAGTTGCCCCTCGTGCAGCACGCTCAAAGCTAGCTGTGGCAAAAACGCAGATGATTAGATTGTCATCGCGTTTCGCCACTGCTAGCTGCCAACACACCGAGTGTGTTGGCCACGCTCGGTGTGGCCAGACGAGGGCTTGTTTCTAAACAGCGCGTTAGCCTATAGTGCCATTTTCTGATCTTGTCTGTGTGACTTGGTCTATTCTTCATTACCAAACCGAGAATACTTCCAAACCAAGATCAATTGACTTCGAGGCTTATTTTGCCTAAAGTAACTGTAGGTGCTCAGAATGTTTACCGAGCACTATACGTGTGCTCACATTTCCCTCTCTCATCCTAGCTGATAAATTCTCAATCAAAACAACGGTTTATCATTATTGGATATGTTTCTGTGACCTTCTCTTTGTCGAGTTACGAACTTTTTTCCCTTATCTATATTTATTTCGCCATTCTTCTGCAGTAGCCATGTGGAAGATCCTGACGGTGTTCTGCGTCGTCGCACTTGCGACCGCTGCCGGAGGTAACAAACATTATATTACTTTCCATAAAATGTATGTGCAACTGTGCGCTGAAGTTGTTAAGTCACTTTCGTCATGATAATCACACCTTTATGTTTCTCATAAATTGTAAAACGCGTTGCTGTTTGGCCACACTTGTTTTAACCGCATAAATATCGTGAGGGGTGGCACGCTCGAGTCGTGGCTGAACCGAGCTGTCACGTTGAGTGATGATATATAACGTGCGCTCCACACGTCAATGACAAAGGGTCAATTCACCAATTTGTTTAAAAAGACGAGGTACTAGTTTAAATTATTCTTAGTAAGTTATTAGCACAGAGTGCTCTAAGCACAAGTACTGCAGATGGCGACGGCCAGCAAAGGCAGCTGAATTCCCGGATCAATTTCGGAGTAGAAAATCCAAATAACCAACGTCACAAATTCCGAAAACCACGTAGATTAGACTAAAATTGTTAGATCCAGTGAGAGTAGCGCCAAGCTCCACGTATGGTCGCTATTTTGGTTCATGAAGGGAGCATGCAGTTTATCTTTGACCTCTTCATTTTTGGTGAGCAAATTCAAATTCCCAGTCACAGGGTCCTTCGTAAAAACATTTCGGTCTACCGAGATTTTGCTATCCACACACCGGCGATACAAGCGCACATCTTCACTCCGCCACCACATGTGGCGTCGGTGCTTGACGGTATTGAAAAATAATATTCCTATCTTGAAAGACGCAAGAAAACAATATCATTATTAAAGATCCATGGAAATGAGCATAATTATAAGTTGATTGGATACTCAGTGCCAAAAATAGTTTTACTGGAGAGGAACGCCTTCAGTACGATGAAGCTCCATAGGGATCTTGGCGCGACTGGCTCAGAACGACAGCTTCGAAGCTTCGCTGATCTTAATGGACCGAAATGGGTATTTCCATGGCAGCAAAAATCTGTCAGTCAATCACCTTGCGAGGTTTCGGACTTCTGTATTTTAGTATCTATTTGTTCGGGCTAGAAGGCAAGGAGGGCTATGGCGCTACTTTCCTAGGATCCAGTCACCTGCCTTGCAGGCGATAGAAATGCTATAGTTTTTCAGGCGCGTTGATACTTTAGACCCATGTTTTTGTCAAAAGAAAACCTATCTCCAAGCTCTGGTATAAAAACATGTTTTTCGTGTAAGGCTTGTCAAATTAGGACGCGCTGGAGAAAACCAGCCTTCTGCGTGAAGTCCTTATTTCGAACTTTTTTTGTTTGCGTTCCGCCCATTGAAAAAAAGCATGAGGGAAGGGCCTCAGCACGCACCTCGTATCGCTGCGCCGTAGTGTTCTTCCGCAGCGTATAGGCCGTCTGCTGTCACCACCGTCCCCATGGCAACGAACGCCGAATGAATGGAAGCACGCACGGTACCGCCGCGTGAAGCCAGCAACAGATGACGCCATTTTCCGAAAGTCGTCTGCTAGCCAAAGTTTGATAGTTTTGTAATGAGCAGCCGCAGACTGTCGCCACGAAGTGGCGCGAATGCAGGCGGAGTGCACGCGACATCCGAAAAGGTCATTCAGCGTTCGTTGCCACGGTGACGGCGATTAAAGCAGATGTCCTTTATGCTGCGGAAGCACACTGCGGCTCAGCGATACGAGGTGCATGCTGAGGTGTTTCCTGCACGCTTTTCAATGGGCGGAACGCGAACCAAAAGAGTTCGAAATAGGAATATAACGCAGAAGGCTGATTTTTTCTAGCGCCTCATACTTTGACGAGTCTTGCACGAAAAGCGTGTTTTTTGTTGGCCATCCCGCGCGCTGTTTTTTTTTTTTTTTATCCTTAATTTGGGTTTAAAGTATCAAACTGCCAATAATAAGATGTGGAGCGGAGAAGCAACATTATTTTTCCGACTGTGTCAAATAATTATCGCCTTTTGCAATCCTTTGTAGGTGGAGATGCACTTCACCAACCCTTATAAATCACATGTCGTATAAATTTTAGCAGAAAAAATGCAACATACTTGTAATCTTCTTCTTTTGTGGGGTGGTCCTTGTTCAAATGCTCGCCTTTCAAGTGTAAGGTATACGGTGGAGCAGTCAACACCACTGAATCACTAGTGTTGTAGATGCTCCCTGGCGTGTATATTTGTGATGTCTGCGTATGTGCACACGGCAAGTGGCGAGCACGTGTTTTCTATGTACGGAAACACGCGCTCGCCACTTTGTCTCCGCTGCACTCGTCGAACGCACTAGAACGTGGAACGCCGGCGTCTGGTGTTTGTCTCTTGCATTCGAACGCGTTCAACGAGTGCAGCGGAACCAAAGCCAGCTAGCTTGAGGTCTACCCACTAATCCTTCCAACCAGAGCTCGGCGTTCTGACGTCTCCTCTCGTCTCCTCCCCTCCCTCAGTTTCATGGGCGAATACAACTTCTATCTAATCTCTATTTTCTATAGAAAGTCTACAGGAAAAAAACGGACAAAAAGCTATGGACAGTGGGGAAAAATAGTAAACAAACTTTGTTTAGAATATGTATAGCCTCTATACACTATTTTCTATAGAAATTCTGTAGAAAGTGGATAACTATTTTTGCAAGGGTTTTGACATATGGTTTAGATGAAACGAGGACGCTGTCTTCCTCACCCCGCATGAATGATGAAGCGAACGCTATTATAGTCAGTGAGAAGTTAAGAACCCAGCAGCCTCGAGCGCGAGCTTTCTGCCTTTGCTAACACATGGCCGCACGCGCAAAACCCAGCGGAAGGCAATGAGCGCGAGTTGGAGGGGCAGAGCGTCGGTTCTTAACCTCTCAGCGACAGTAGGTGAAGAACGTATTCGGCGTCTGGGGAATCAACGCGACGAATGTTTCCTCGCTTGGTGTAAAGTGAGGTAGACTGTGGTGCTACATACGGAGACACGTGTTCGCTCACCTGCAGATGACCTGTCGGAGGGGGATATGGGTATCTACATGAAGCAGACAAATGACATCTTCGACCAGATTCTCGACAGCGTCAGCCGGTCTGAGGAGCTGGACCCGTTCCAGCTGCCGGAAATGGTGTCCAGTTTTGAGCGGAAGATTTTGTTTCGTCTCCACGGCGAGGCCCGGATCTACAATGGCACTATCACGGGGCTGTCGACCATGCACAGGGCGGGAGACAGCCACCTCAAGATGGACGAGTCGAACCTCGAAGTGCTCGCCGACGTGGGCGTCGGAGCCCTGGACGTCAACTGCAAGGCCCACGTGAAGTTCATGGGCAGGGGCCCCACAGTTAACATCGCCGTGCATATCGCCTACGCGCGGGTCCTGCTGGAGGCCTTCCAGTAAGCGAACTCTACATTCCTGCCGTATGAGCATGCGTGAAGACTTACGAGCGAGGCCCGCCGTGAGGGTAGACAGTAGCTATGCATTACGTCATCGTTATTCGCGTGCCACCGCTCCTTCGCGTGCACGCTTTTTATATCATTTATGGCGGAAGGAAGCGACAGTTTTTCAGCCTCGCTTGTGGCTGCTTGGTCAAATACATTTTAGCCTCCAAGATTTTAGGAACATTCTTGGTTGCCCACAAAATCAGCTTATATGTTATAACTAGGCCGTAGATTTTCCAATGTTTCTTTATAAAGCTTTTTGTGTACTCTCGTCCCCAACAGCGTAAAAGGGGTATTCGGTATGGGCGACGAAGAAATAATAAAATGTTTATACCTGTAAATAGTGAAAAAATAGAGGGGAGGCAAAGCGAGAATGTGTGACGGTACGCTTATATTCTAAAATTCTAAATGTCTTCTATTGGCGTGGCGATGGCAAAACAATATTTTCAGCCATACTGGAAGTGACGACAATTCAAGATGGCGGCCCCCTTCTGAAAAGGGTCTATAAGGAAAATCGGCGGATGTTTTTCGGTGTTTATTTTTTTCAGAGGTTGGTGTATTTGGACGAATTGTTCGGTATGGGCGCTAAAAACGATAATTATCGGTGAAAAAACTAATGAAGAACTAGGAGTTCATATCTATTTTACAATTCGTACACGCCCTTATAACGCATTGCGCTTATCATAATGCAACTGCCCTTGCAAACAACAGGCAATGAGTACGAAAACGGGCCAAAGTTCCGGTACCATTCAGAGACTTTGGTGTTTCTTTTTGTGTGTGTATCTTGCTAACCTTCAACTACGTGTGATGGCAAAAAGTAAATTATTCCGAAGAAAACTGTTTCAGCCACGATGAAAGAAAGTTGTTCATGCTTCGTTCGCAAAATTCAACCGCTAATGACCATCAATGTAGTTTTGAGCATTTTGGACTAGCTCTGATATGAACAGAACAAAGATATTGTGACAATCCGTGGTGACTGACTAACTGATCTTGCTCATATGCAGTCCTGGCAGTAACGCGTTCAAATAACAGCGCGTTACCTTTTTTCGGTAACGCGTAACGTACTCGTTACCTTTCAAAACAGTAACGAGTCAACGTACTTACATTACGTATTTCGACTAACGGGTAACGGAGTTACGTTACTCGTTACATATTCTTCCCAAGACTTACAAAATTACACTTTGATTTTTTTTTCGTGTTTCTGGGCGCCAAGCCACGTACATTTTTCAGGTTTTTTTTTCGTTTTGTCTTGTTAGTATTCAGGTGAAACCGTAAGAAAAAAGGTAATTTTCTCAGTTTCTGCATGGACATCATATTTCTTTAAATAAGGCGCTTATGCAAACCTGTAACGTCAAAACACTAAAACGTGTTAATTGATAATTTAAAAAGTAGAGCAAAAGTAGCGTGCGTTAGTTTTTATCGATAGCGGTAGCGTTAACGGGTTCCTTTTATTTTGAAGTAACGTAGGACGGTAACGCGCGTTCCTTCGATTTGCAAGTAACGAGTAACGTATTTCGTTACTTTTTTCTGTAACACCTGCAACACTATTCTTATGCCATTGCAATGTCCTTTAAGGTCAATGATTCCATTTCTTCGCGATTGTCAGGGTGCTTGATTCTACGTGAGAGTACGTTCCCGCTAACGTCTAGAGGTTTCGACGCAAACTGTTCTCGCTTAAGCACACATTAACAGAAATTTGTTTTAAATTTTAACCGATTTTTTATTTTTGACACCGACGGATGTTTATCGGTGTTTTTAGGTTAAAAGCGGAGAGTCTACACTCAACGAAGGACGCCGCAACTGCCGAAAGAGGCGCCATCGCGTTTCAAATGTGTTTTATTGATCTATATCCATGGGCGTCCAGTCAATACGTCTACCAACTTTCCTCTACGCCTTCCATCGTGACCCAAAGTCCTCTTCTTGCTTCCAGGCCGCAAGATGGAGAGATGACCCTGAAGCAGTTCAAACTGCAAGAACTTAATGGCTTCAAGCTGAAGATGACGGGTCTCGGACCCCTGACTTACCTCTTCACTTACTTTGTTCGCGTTTTCACGAAACTGTTCAAGAACAAGGTCAAGGACATCGTGGAAAGTCGGCTGGCCAAAATGGTCGCGAACAAACTGAAGGGGATTAAACTGGGAGTGTAATAGAAGCTCGATGACTACGTTTCGTTTCTCACCATACTCTCTAAGGGCCCGTTCACACAGTGCCGTTGCCTAACGTTGCGTTATGTTCCGGGAGCTTACGTCTGCTCACGTCGAGAATCATCGGGGCATCCCTGCTCAGCTTGAAGAGTGGCAATCAACTGAAGGAGAAGCTTGGCACGCGACATACGAAGCACGGAAAGGGAAAGGGAAACGGTGTTATGCCGTTTTTGTTAGAAAACAATTCCCCAGCCTGACACTGCACTGTGTGTTCGGGCATTGTTGTGGTGGAACCACCACTCCCCCTTTCCTACAAATCGGAGCATTTGTGCCTCGTTGAGTTCTGCAAGCGTCGCAAAATTCTAAGGCAAAACACATGATTATCAAATTCACCAGTAGAAATAATAATGTAATAATAATAATAATAATAATAATAATAATAATAATAATAATAATCAAGAATCAAGAATCAAGAATAGTTTTTATTTGTGCCCAGGAACAACCTTGCGGTTTTGGTGCTGGCGCACGTAAAAAAGAACAAAAACACACACACAAAAAAAAGGAAAAAGAAAAAAAAATACACGGAAGGCAGTTTTACATAAAATTCTACAAAAAAGAAGACGCGAGAACTGTGTACACAAAATTGTACAGAAAAACAAAACAAAAAAGTGCACAAAAATTGCACAGAGAAATGAAGACACGAAAAAAAATGTTCCAATACATATGGATGCTTCACTTGGACGCAAACAGACGCGAACGTCTGAACACTACACATACAGCTCCGTACAAATAGAAACAAGAAATCAACAAGTCATAGAAAGGCATATGGAAACCCGGCAGTTGATTCAGGAAGTTCATCGAAAGTCACAAAAGAGCTTCCGCACAGATTTAACAAAATCGGAGAAGTTGTCAAGAAATATATCGAGATTAAGAGAAGAGTTATTATAAAGGAGTTCCGCACGAGATACTGGATCAAGTGTATTAACTCTAGATGACAGATAGAAGGTTGACGTTTTTCTTGTCGTCACTCGCGGTACGTGCAGAGAAACCTGATGCAGGATGTCGGAGCTATCTATTTGACCATGTATACATTTATAAAGAAAGAGCAGCTCCGCAGTGTTTCGGCGTCCCTGCAAGTCTTGCAGTCGAATGGGTGAACTATGCACGTCATCAACTGCTTTTGCAAGGTTGAAACGGTGTTTAAAAATAGATACGAATTTCGCTTGTACACGAGAAATCCTCAATAATAATAATAATAATAATAATAATAATAATAATAATAATATTTATTTGCATACAAAAATCTGATCCTGAGTGGCGTGCACGGCTGTGCAGAAAGGTTAAAACCCGTACGCGAGTGGCGCCTGCCAGCCCGTCACCCAGGATTTGAAAAAAAAACAAAAAACACACGCACACGCACACATATACCAAATTTGTACACAGGGCCGTAACCAAAAATGTTTTAAAAGAAATCAGCATCGTCTTGACATTTGACTTGACCTAACTCGCTTTTTTGGGTCGTATCGAACTTGAACTCTTCCACTGACTTGACTGTTGCTTTGACTCATGGTCGTATCCGTAGCTCCAGCTTTCGTCACCTGTAATGACTTTTGAAAAAAAGCTTAGGTCAATTGACGACTTCCGGACGTTCTTTCACCTGTTGAGAAGCTTTCAGTAGAAAATGTATCTGATTGGCAGTGAGCAAACAAGGCCTAAATTTTGCTGAAACTCTCTTCAGGGTAATATTTTCGGTCAAAATGTGTTGACACAAACTCCAGGACACTCCTTTCATTCTGCAACTTCTTCAGTTCGTCTTGGACGTTCTGCCAAGACAAACTCCCAAATTTTTTAGATTTTTTGATTAGTTGAGTAGGTTGAGGGTCGCCCTGAACGAGGTTGGTCGTCGATCAATAATTAACCGGCCTTGAAGCGAGAAATTCACTCGTAGTCTTGCCATCTTTTCATCGCACATTCTTTGTAAGCTGTCTGAAGCATTAAAAGAGTTTCCGCCGTCGCTTTCCCTTAAAGAAAACAAAATTTCGCGGCCGCACGCTGTTCCTTCAAGGCGGGCATTGCGATGAACGAGGAATGATTTTGAAGCGCTCGGAAAAACGCCGCCGGTCGGCAAACTGTCTCGGAAGGGGTGGCACAAAGACCTGCTAGCGGCGGAAACTGGTACAACGAACGTCCCCGTCCTCTCAAAATTCAGTCCGGTTACTTTTGGATCCCCCCTTTTATATTTTTTTAGTCAAATGCCGCTAACATTGTATGTTTTTATTGTGACAGCATTTTCGTTCATAATGCGTGATTTGAGCGGAACCGACATTATTAAAGACATTACGAAGGAATTTACATTTTTTATTGAATGAAATTTTGGGGAAACTAACGACCAGACGAGGCAAAATGTTTAATGCAAAATGACACCAATAAAACATTCCCGTCAAGCTAGACTTTATTATGCTGTGACACCGCGATAAAAAAAAAAAAAAAAGTTGAATACAAAATTTTACAAAAGTGTACCTTTTTCGGTGCGAGGTTCAAGTTAGGATTAAACATTTTATACGCGCATCTACATTACCAATAACTGCTCTAAGCTGCCCTGGAGGTAATCTTTGAAAGCCTCCAACAAAATGGCAGCTACATGATCAACTCTGAAAAGAAACTTCTAGCGTTTAATTTCTAATTTGAAAATGTCAACAAACGTACTTATAGCTTCTAATCTTCTTCAAGAATATCTGGCTGTTTTCATCTCACACAGGCACGCTTTTGGGGTAGAATATTTGATTTTGACAAACAAAATATATGTTTCGGGAGCTTTCTTGAAACGAAACAGAGTGCAAATAACAAGGTTGGCGGATTTTTTTTTTTTTTTTTTTTTTCAGATTGAAGACATTTGGAGCTGCCAATACAAAAAATGGCGTATTTTCAACCTGTTTGCACGTACTTTTGACATCTCGATATTGAGTCATTTCACAAATTACTGCACTGGGACTCTTGCGTGATACCCACACAATAGAATGAATTATGATTAATTAATTGAAAGGAATCTTTGCTCTATAAGAATTTAGGAAACAAAAATGGAATAATTTCCACAAGGGTATATAATTGAGATAGTTGATAATCATCAACATCAAATTCAGCCCACAAGATGAGGACAAGAAGGGGACACAAAGACGGCACTTCAAACTCAGCGCCGTGTTTGTGTCCCTTTCTTGTCCTCGTTTTCTTTTTTCGCCGAATTTGCCTATGTGTGTTTTTTCGATGCATTTGATCAAAGTTTGGAAAGTTTTTACGTCTGACCTTTTTCAGATATTTTATTGACCTTGATATCATTGAAAAGCTCGAACTTAGCTCTTTTTATTGCATTCACATTCAGTATTGTATAAAAATAAAATATGTTACATACATTCGAATCAATGAACGTGTAAGAAATCTAGCGCATTCCAAATCGATTTTCTCAAATATCCCATTTTTATTTGGTTCATTCTTTATCAGCAGCAAGGTGTGAGAGTGTTTTATTCAAAAAAGCATCATATTCAGGTTTTTTTTATATAGCCGGAAATAAAGCTCGAGCTTTGTCAGATCTGCGTTCTGAAACGGCAAGCTTTGCAGCGGAAACTAAGATTTACTCCGAATTACGCACAATATAAGTTATCTACGAGCCTACGTACAGGTTTTAAGTTAAGCATTAATCTTAGGTAAATATTCACATCGAAGCCAAAATATTGGCCAACATAGCACCCGTCCGAGGACTCGGTCAATAACGCACAGCAGATCGGGTGTATTGGAGCGAGATTTTCGGCTGGCATTCGTGCCCAATCACCGAGGAGACAATCGCTGCCTCAGTGATCGGCTGGCAGTCGGTGTTTCGTTTTTCGTTCAAAGAGTGCAAACCCGAAACTACTGGGGGCCAGCAGACCTGTACGTTAAGCTTTGCCAGTAACGCGTGTTACACTTTGCGGCCACAAAGTGACGACCTACGTATACACCCCAGTGATACGCGCGTGGCGAAATGTCCCCACAGCGTGCAATTCACGTAACCAGTGTCAATGAAACGTTCGTGTCGACGAAGCGTGTGTCTATGAAAACTTGTCTACGAAACGTAATTCCACGTAACGAGTTTCGACGAAACGATAGGGACCCCCGGGGTGACCCGAGCAGCCCGTGAGGTGAGCGGGCTCGGCCGTACGCAGATATCGTGGGAATAAAGCAGTTCGCACTCAGCAACCGACTGGACCGGACTCCCTCACGATATGGGCCGAGACGTCCAATATAACAAACACTTTCGTTCCAGTACTTCAATGAAGTGGCTCGCGCAAAACGAAACTGTACAATAAAGTACCCTGTTTTTTTTTTTTAGATAACGTTGAGCCACAACGTTATCTGAACGTTATCTGAAACGTTCAAATACCGTTTCAGATAACATGAAGCAGGCAACTCTGAACGCGAAAGCTCGCGCTTCTTTGTGACCGTTTTGCGAGAACACGCGGATACTACTGATAAACGGCGAGTGAAAACGAAACTATGCTCAACTTGCTGGCTGGGTGTGCAACCCGATAATCTACATTGTGAAAAATGTTTGTAGTATAACAGGAAATATCCGCAAAATTTCGGTCAAAATTAAAAAAAATGGTTCTTTTAAATTAAAATAGAGACCAGCTTACCGCTTAAAAAACAGGGCCTGTGTTATTCGTCATTAACACAAGTTTTTGGTAAATAAACAGTCTAAATATACTTGTATTATCGGTAAAAAATCACAGGCTTGTATTACACTAAAAAACATCGTTTGTATATATTATAAACGCTCTAGAAAACGTTCCGTTGTCTGTAAAAAAACAGAGCTTCTGTTGCCACATCCCAAACATTTTTGGATCATCATTAAATCAGTGAACGAAGTCATAGCTACAATAAATTATTTTATTGAGGAACGTTTTTCTGCAATCGCAATACATGGTATAGTGCCATCGTGCTGGAATCAAATGCGAACGGCAGAGGGCGTGGCCACTGC